TATTAACTCTAGTTTCTTGTACAAAAGTGCAACATATGCGGATATACATTCACAAGTCTAACATTGAATCTATAACATATGTTACATGATGAAGAATATAAAATGAAAGATAAACAACTAAGAGAATTCCCTTAAGGCTTACAATTTTCCAAGCTAGTACTTGGTTACAACAAAATGGATTTTAAATCCAATACATTTAACGGCCCTTGGCTTGTACAAAACAAATACACGATTAAACAAAAATTAAGGTCTTGTTCCAAGTCCTCCCAAGCTATTGCCTTGGCGGAGGCATATCACCAGCACCTAAAAATGTTTTTCCCATATAGGGTGAGCTAAAACCTAGTAAAAATAATCCAAAACAACATATAAATTTAATAAAGGTATATGGTGAATGCATATGCAATGCTTGTGCAAAAGTATTTCATTTCTTCTTTCTCATGATCATACGATACCCGATTAACATCACAGTTATCAATCATGTCCTTTACAATAGAAAACAAGACAATGAATCATACTTAGAAAATTCCAAAACAAATCCAACCTTTCCCAGAAATTTCGTCCGGAGAAAACCATAAAATGGGACCCATGTAAACGTAGGCTATACAAGCACTATTATTTCCATTTTACAGAAATTTCGTCAGCGGGATCAACACCCATGTACACGCGCGAGTTTCAGGACTTTCACCCTGGACACTCCGACCAACTTATTTCAATGTACAACATTCAATTCTCGGATTCACCATTTTTTTCTCAAAATGATACATATTTCCAAGGTATAAATATGAAACAATACTCAATGCAAATGAATGAGAAAATAGTTTCAATTCTCCTAATCCTCATGCAATTTCTACAACAGTCACAGGTATCATCCATCGATAGCCCAAAACAGATATCTCTAACAAATAGAAAATTTCAATAACAATATACAGTACTATCATTTCCAAGATGTGAGCGATATAACATATCCAGCTCCACCATCATCATCAATATCCTCCATCACCATCATCAAGACGTGAGTAATATTACAAAACCATCATCATTCTTCAATATTTTTCCAACACATGTCAAGCCCATGGTTTTAGAGCAAAACCTTGTTTTCTTTCAAAATCATTTTTGAGTAGAGAAAGATATCATTTCAATTACATAAAACACAACATCATTTCCATTATCTTTACAAGATCAATATTTGATATTTCTAGGGCAAAATCCTATTTTTCTTTACAAATCATTTCCAAAGGCGAAAACCATCACTTTATCATAGATCAATAATAAACACATTTCTACAAGCATTTCCAACAAACCATTTGAAAACCCCATTTTTTGATTTCCAACCAAAATCCTAGATTTGTCCAAAATCTTCAAAAAAATCACAATATTGTTTTAGAAATAACAAATAGCTAAGTTAAAATTTATAGGAAGGTGCGGAGAATCCCTATCACAAACTTAGAAGAGAAAGAAGGAAGAAAGCCCAAAAAGTTGACGGAGATGAAACGACGATTTGCTCTGATCAAAATGAAGCCCTCGACAAGCTCTACATTTAATCTCAAAGGAACAAGGTGAGGAGATGTTTCCAACGGAGTAGATCTGAAGATCTTTGAGCGAAAAAGTGAGTTTAGAAAGAGAAAAGAGGGACTCACATTTAGAGAGGGAAAAGAGAAGAAAAAGTGAAGAAAATGGTAAGTGAGGGCCCTATTTATAGTGCTAGGTTATAGTGGAATAAGGTCCCAAATTCAACCCAAAAGAACAAGTCAAAATTCCCAAGAAGTAGGGCCCAAAATTGAACTAAAAAAAAAAAACAAACAAACAAACTCATAGGTGGTGTCGACTCTTCAGGAAGAAATGACAATGTTGGCAGCAAATAAGGCGTTGACCCTTGGACCAGAGGTGTCGACACTAAATTTCAGCAACCAAACCCAGATTCTACTATATACAAGGGTCGACCCTTCGCAGACTGGTGTCGATCCTTGAGGCCAACAACAAAAGACAATTGTCGACACCACCAAGGCTAATGTCGACCCTAAATTTCAGTAGCTATTCCAAGAACATAGCAGCAAGATGGTGTTGACCCTTCCAACACTGGTGTCGACCCTTGGAGCTTAACAAAACAAAGATAAGAGGGCAGTGTCGACCCCCGAAGCCAAACCAAATATGAAGAGAAAAGAACGACCATCAGGAATATGATTTTCCAGATTCAAAAGTAATAAATGGATAGGGTCTAAGCCCGGATCACTATAATTCAACACCCATTTTGGGTTTGTGGATCATACCAAAACTTAATGTTGGTGAATTGGCTAAAGATCCAACGTTGTTTGAATAATATAAGACTAACGAGCATAGTTTTGTTGGTAGAAGATGGTTCTAATTAACCACTTGAAGATCACATACTTGAAATATTGCCAATTTGCTCTGTCGAAATAATATACCTCACTTGGATTGAGTGTTATTGTAATTTTGACAATTAAATGGCATATAGTCATTAATAGCAGTGACATCAATTTATCGACAATACTATTTTGACATATGTGGTGTTTAATCACTAGATTTTTGGCCATAGGTATATATTTTATATATGTTTGTTTGTTGAAAAGGCTATTGTCGATTTAATTTTGATTTTATAACTCTTTAAGAATTCGAGTAAGTCTCATTCTTAAAGAGTTAGGGGGGCATTGTTTGCACCCGTTTTTGTAAAATGTTTGTTGACAGGTGCACAAATTAGATTGTGACATGTGGCAACAAAGTCATAGTTGGGATGCGTTTTAATTAGAGGATTATGTGGCAAAGAAATGGTAGTCACAGGTGCAATACAGTAAGATCATGTCATGGGCTAAGATTGTGAAGCATTTGCAAGCCTTATTGGAGATCATGAGCTAATTTCTAGGAGATGTTGATGTTAATAGAAATTTCCTCTGTTGATCATGCTCATTAGTTGAAGGGAAATTGGGCGATGATGTGGTTGGAGGTTTAAAAGTAAAGTTGGGACAAAAATAAAAAGTTTAAAGAAGCAAAGGAGGTTGCAAGTAGTTATAAGTTTTAGTAAAATGGTCTCCTCTGTTGAAGGTAGTAGAGATCATGGGGGACATGTGGCAAGCCTATGTGAAGTGCTGGAGAAAGATGAAGAAGTAGTTGCAGCAGTTGGGGAAAGATTGGCCAGCGAAAGTAGTTCAGATTGTAATTTAGGAATAGTTTCTTTCACTGTGATTCGTACTTGTTGAATGAACATAGGTGATTCCAATTTGAAGTTGCTTTTGTTTGTTTAATCTACCTTGTTACCATCAGTTGATATAAAATAGTTTGTTTTCTTCTTGTTTGTTTTGTTATCATCAGTTGATCTAAAGAAATCCTCATTCTCTTGAGGCATTAGAATTGAAACCACAATTGCTTGATTTTTCTTTATTTAAGTTGTTCAGTTTGAATTATTACTTAGCTGCTATCGATCGAGACCCAGCATAATTTTTACTAACACTTACTCTATTCTCTTTCTACTAATTGTAAAAAAGACCACAAAAAAAAATGTGGAACTTTCGAAACTTCAAGCTTCTTGATCACCAAAAAAAAAAAAAATTACACCCATTTGTAACAGCATTGTTCCTGATTGTTTTAAGAAGAAAAAAAAAAAACAACAACAACAACCACCACCCTGCTACACTGTCATTATTTTTGTCCTTACTTTTTCCCCAAAGTAGCCCTAGAATTTTTGTTGAGAGCCTCTATATGCACTCTAAAAAAATTGTTGGACACTTTCTTAATAGGTGTCATTGTCAAACTTAGGGGTGTTTGGTATAATTTATATAAGTACACTTATTTATATAAGTATACTTATTTGAGTCACATTACCTCTCTATTTTTCTGTACATCTTTTTGTAAAAAGTCAAAAAATATATTTATTTAGATCATCTCAAATACCCTTTATTATTTTTCTTTAAACACCCAATTAAGTCCAACTTTATCTCCACTCACCCACCATTTACTACCTCCATTGTCATCATCCCCTCTCTTCCCTCACCTTTTATTTAAAAACCTTAACCCAATGACCCACCACCACCAACAAATAGTCTTAAATTGAAGAGAGAGAGAGAGAGAGAGACGAACAGAAAGGGCTAGGGGTGGCTTTTAGAGGTGGGGAGGGGTTGTCGGTGTCAAAGGTGGTAGTGGCATTAGCCGAAAAGTAGTTAATTAAAGGTAGAATTTTAAAATTTTGTTCTTATTGATAATTTAACTTGGATATATAATTTTTTTTGTTTTGTTTTGTTTTTTTTATCAAATGTGAGACGTCAATTAATACTTCTGAGGTGCATTTAGAAGCTTTTTTTGCTACCCCAATCCCTCCCTCTCTTGCTCTCTCTGCTCTTCAGCACCAACCACCAACACCAACACCAACATCTAAACTGTTGCCCAACTCCAACCGTAGTGCTTCCTGACCTCCATCTCTCTAGTGCAACCACCAACACCAACAACCAACTCTGAGTACATACTCCTTCCCTCTCACTTGTCTTCTCTAGAATTTTAGTTAATCGAACCTTTTCGTGTTCTTTCACTCCACTAATCCAAGATCTAAACAACAAAATCCTAGCATTACCCTTAATTATTATACAATTACCCTGAGGTGGTCGCTTGGTTGGTCAGAGCGTATGCTCCCCACATGCCAAACTTTTGATTCTTATTAGCCCCTCCTGTTTGCCTAGATCATGCAATGCAATTAAGGAGTATTGCTTGATCCTTGGATTTACACTCGAGTATCTCAAAAAAATTATTATACAATTACCTGAGAAAGTTTTGCCCAGGTTCTTAGCCCATAACCTGCTTTAAAATAAAAACATCTGTTGCAAGTTGCTACAACCATCACTCAGAATTCGCCTATGACTTTACGGCCCATTTGTGAGCACATTCATAGTTATCTGTTGCATGAAAAATCATATGCAAATCAAACAAAACACCCACCCACCCCCCAACACACACACACAAAAAAAAAAGTGCTATATTATCCTAGGAGAAAAAGCAAGGAAGGAAACTAAGACTGCATTTTTCACCATACACATCAATTCATTCAATAAAACAAGAGAATTCCACAAATCCATAATGTAGACACCCTAAAAGTAAAAAGACAAATCTCAATGCACGCTGAAATTTCAGAAGGAGCAAGATTATCTTATTCTCAGAAGAAACAAGGTTTCATTCAGCATTCAACAGACAGCTTAGCTAAGCTACGCCCGTTCTGCACATTTCTTCTCCCACCAGTCCAAGAACTTAACCTGTGCAGCCATGGTATCCAACCTGTAAAGTTGCAGCCAGTGATTTGCAATCTCATGTCCAAACGTCCAACCAAACACAGCTCCTGCACCAAGGGACAGTACAGCACCTGCCACAATAAAATAAAATTAGGGCAAGTAGCTTCCAACTTCAACCAAACTGTTTTCTGACAGAAATTTCATTTTTCCAAATGCTTCTCTCAAAGGTTCTAGCTTTCCAAATAATAGTAATCTAAATTTATAGGGTAATACATAATAACCACTAGCCAATAGTAATTAGAAGCCAATCAGAAAATCAAAAACACTCTCTCCCTAATATGATTTTAATGTGAAATATATATTAGTAGAGAAGGCCAAAACACCAGGACTTCGATCACTCAAAAAGCTTTCAATTGGATAATTTAATGGTTTCTACTAAAGTCTCAGATAAAGTCACAATTGCACATTTGAAATTATATTTGTAATATCAGGGAGCATTATCATCCTAATAATTCTTCATTACATACAATCTTTATTAATACAATACTATAATCCCATGAACAAAAAGGATTCTGTATAAGAAAGTTAAAAGTAGACAAGAAACTTGGAAGTTATGAGTAAAAGCACAACTCCGTTACAATAGAAGAAGAAGAAGAAGAAGAAGAAGAAGACCAACAAAATGTCAGAGACCACATAAATTACCATTTATAGTATCTAACACACTGAGAATAACTAAATTTTGTAAAATATCACAGTTTTGTGGTTTAAATCTTCTTTTAGCGTGACAACCGGAAGTTAGAAATGAAAATGGAGATATTTCTCAAAGAAAACTATTTAAGAGTTGAGAAAAAGAATAGCTACTGAAATAAGCCCACAGTACCATGCGGACTCCTCGAATATTTCCAAGCAGCAGCTGCAGTTGAAACTGCTCCAATAACACTTCCTGCAGCACCAAATTTTGCTGCTTCACGGGCTGTCTTCAGCTGAAAAAGAAAAGGAAATGAATTAAGTACTCTACATTAAAAATGTTTAAAGAAAGCACAAGCAATAAGACCACTAGAGAAAAAGAACACCATGTTGGAAAACTTCTGCCTCCTGGGTTAGCAAATCTTATAAAATTTAGGGGTTGCTTGGGATGATCTAAATAAGTGTACTTTTTGACTTTTTATGAAATATGGGTTGGGTTTGGGTTGGGTTTGAAGTGATGTGTTAAAGAGGTGATATGACTTAAATAGGATAGTGAGTTTTTGACTTTTTATCTTTTTTCAAGCATGCCAAACTTGGCCTTAATCCCCCAAAGGTAACCCAAACGGGTGAGAGGGTTAAGTCTTAAGGTAATAATTTCCTGATCAAACGAGCATCACCAGCAAAGTTGAACTCACCCGAAGAAACATGATAATTTCATTGTCTTTAAGAACTGTTTTTTTCTATTTTCATTTCATTCAGAATTTGTAATAAGTAATACAATAAAATAGATAAAATGACTAGAGTAAAAAAAAAAGAAGTGGATGTTAGAACCCTATATTTTTCTTCAAAAAAGAGAACACCCTATATTTTTCTTCAAAAGTAGATCTTAGAACCCTAAGTTGTCTTGCATCACAAGCTAGAAAAAAGCACTAGCAGAGACAATAGCTTTGATATGATAATTACAGATAAACTGGAGATTTATATGGCCTCAATGAATGCAAGTTTAAAATTCTAAACCATGTTCTCTTGGAACTTGGAAGCGAGTACACCATTAACCAGCTTGACGCAAGACAACCACCAAATTAAGAGAACCAAATTGGTTGTTGAAAGAGATGTCAGAAGATCCTAAAAAAGCTGAACTTGTCACGATTTACTTTGACTTCTCAACAAAGGAATCTAGTTTGCCCAAAAGTCCATTAGATTTATCAAGGATGAAAAAGCCGACGATTGGAAAGTCCAACAAGTCACGAACGTCCTTTTTCTTGTTAAGAGCTGAAAAGTCAACTTCATTATTATGATTTACTTTGACGTCCTTGGCTTTAGAATCTTGAGCACTGCATTCTTCCTTATTTTCTTCAAATGGCACAACAACATTGATTTTCATTTCCTTCCCATCATCCTGAGGAGCTTCAATATGATGAGAAGAAATATACAAGGGTTGCAGCCACAAATTTGAATCATAAAGGTCAAATTCTGGCTATTCAAATTCCCTAATTCTTGTTGAAAAAAGCCATCAATCGCAGCTTTTAAAGATAAAAGTATACCATTGCTGTTGTCTAACCTTGAATTTAGCTCATAATTGGTCACATTGTAATACAAGAGCAATTGTATCAAGCGATTGGTTGTGAAAGTAAGATAGTTTAGCTTTAACACCAAACTGATATAAGATAGCTTTAGGAAACTAAGGCCTAAGGTTGCCTCCAATAGGAATTGTGGTGATTTTTGGTATGAATGAGTAATACTCATTCCGTTCCATTTTGTTTGTCCATCTTTCTATTTTGGGATGTCCCAAAAAGATTGTACTCTTTGAAAAGTCAAAGCATAAACTGTGTAAGTTCCAAAAAATATCCCTTATAAAAAGTTATAGGCAAATTTGAAAGTGGAAAATATAATTGCAATTGTTGAAAATAATGCCTTCGAATTTGAATTCCGATAGAAGGGAGTGAGTGATTGATATAAGGTAGTTTCTAGGTTTTATGGATGGCATAGATGTTTTTACTTGGGCAGTATTTGGTTCATTGGAATTAAGTGAAATGGATTGATCATTTCATCACATTCTCACGTTTGGTTCACTAAAAAAATGATGAAAAATACATTGCAAAAATTGAATCATCATTGATCATAGTATGGGAATGGTCATTCCATAGGGCGACTAAGGAATGACCATTCTATTCTACACCTATTTTAGAAACAGTGTGATTTAGAGAGCCCTTTTGGGATACAAATGTCATTACCTTCGTTCCAAACAAAAAAACCCTGGGTTCATTTGCAGATGACCATATCCAATACAACTCTAAAGGCACAAACTCAAAATAAAATCATTTACCATCAAAATCACATACACCCCATCTCAAAAATTATGAAATCCAAATTTTAGAAATCTGACATACTAATTGTTAAGGATTTGAAAGTACTTTTCTTGCTTTTCACAGCCAAAATCAAGCAGTTTTGGCTTTCAAATGCAAAGGAGTGGGGGAGGGGGAACTACTTCAGAAATGGAAATAAAGTGGTGCCTATACAAAAGAATTTAAAACCGACTTCTAAAAAAAATTAGAAGTCGACAAAATTAAAACCATTAAAAAAAAAAACGTGTGTAAGCCAACTAGAAACACCACCACGTAACATGAAACCCAACCATCAAAGACAACAATCAAATTTAACAACATAGAACAACTCACACACCATAGGAATATTTCTCAAATGAGCCTTCTATAAATAATAAAAAATTAAAAAAGGAAAATTTCACTTTAGATCCCTATTATATTGAGGAAAGATGCAAAGACAAATATGATATAGAAACAAACTGTTACAAAATTCAAATACCACAGGAAGCTACCTTAGAAAATCTTACTAACCAAGCACAACATAAGATCAAACTAGCTAAACACAACCCTGAGACAGATTTAACTAAACACAAATTTAGCTCCCTATTGTATAGGCTATGTGCACATAACCTGACATTTGAAAATAATCACTTAACCCTGTGATTTGTGCACTAAAACGCATCACTAACTTCTGATTCTGTTAATTGCACTTATAAATTAACCTAAATAAATACCCTCCTCTTCTTTCTCTCTTCTGAACTAAATCTTTCACTTTACTCGTATCATTTCGAAATACAAGGCGCATGCATTACACTTTCTGTTAATTTGGACCAAAAAACATGATTATACACTTTAATCCACTAACCACGAGGTGTTAAAAGCAGTTATTTCTAATTGACAAGATTATTATGTATACATGACATACAGGGTGATAAAAGTGAAATTTATCCTAGAAAAAATTATGAGAGTTAAAAAAACAAAAACAAACCTAGAAAACAAGAAATGCCCAGCTCACCATTCAGGAATCAAAATATATCATTTGAACACAATAAACGCAGAGAAATATGGATCAACAATCCACTTTAAAAATAAGTTGAACAAAACAATCAAAACTGGAATACATACATACATACATACATATATATATATATATATATGTAGAGAGAGAGAGAGAGAGAGTACAGTGGGGCCATGGAGGGGATCGGAGGCGATGAACTCCTCGACATCGGAATCGGACCAAGAGGAGATAGGATTTTGGCGTTGGACGAATCTGGAATAGTTATCGAGGATCGAAAATCTCTCACTCCAGAACTCTTTATACTCTTCCCAGTGCTTCCTAAAGAACGATGGTGATGAATCTCCCATTTTTTTCCCTCACACAAAACTCCTCCCTCCTTCACCTCCAATTCCTTTTTTCCAATCTTTAAACCGTCGCCCACTCTCTCTCTCTCTCTGGCGACTCGATACACCTGCAATAGGCGCTGTTTGGCCCAAAAAAGTCACTTTTTGATTATTTTAGTAAAAGAAATTTACCAATTTAATACAATTTATTTATTAACAAAGAGGGCTCCCTCCCTTTAGTTTAGTTTTTGTAAAATAAAATGAATTTTTTTTTTTTGAGTTTTGAATTTGACGTGGTTAGACCCATAAAGGTCATAGTCCACTACGGACAATCCAAGCCCATCACTTAGAGCCTAATACACAACCCTATTGATGAGGTCCAGAACAGCTGGAAACCAACATGACACGAAGGACCAATAATACCCAGGCACGCGATAGGCAAAGGGCAAACCGCATCAGCAGACAAAGATCTGCAAAGTTATTGCCACTGCACATCGCCATTAATGCAGCCCCTCACAACGTTTATTACGACAATACCTCTCCGTCGTAACAGCATGCCCTCACCCTGAACAAGGTAAGCTACAGCATAGACTTTTGGCCAAGATGACAGGTCGGAAGGGACAACGAAATGATGACCAAAGGATATAAGCAAACGTTGAAGACAAGAAGAAGGTTAAGCTTTTTATCTCTAATTCATATCTCTACATTCCACTTCTCCCTCTCTCTAACTTGCTCGTCGGAGGGTTCACTAGGGACACCCCGTTCCCTGTTGAACTCTTATGCAGGTTCTCAGGTGGGCTTGACCACTCGGATATTGGCTCGAGAAGCGTAGATCAGTCCGACTCGTTCTACCAGGAACCCGTTGTATCATAACTGTATCATCAGTTGGCGCTGTCTGTGGGAAGTCGCTTTGTTCCGTGTGCCAGTTGTGCTCATTGTCGCCGGGGACCCTGTTCCAATAACCTTTTCCTGCTACCCATCAACATGTATGGTCACGACTAGATCCATGACTTCTCACCAAAATGCCGCCGACCATCAAGCCGACCCCCCCAATCCAAACAACCCACCACAGTATTTCATCGAGCTTACCAACAGCATCAACCGCATGACCGAGCAAAACCAAGCCCTGATAAATGCTCTACTCTAAAGGGACCTTCCTATGCCTCCTCCACCACCTCCAAATATTCCGCCCAACCAAGAACGAGCTCCGAGCCATACTATCCCACAGCCCTATCCACCCAACTTGGAAGGCCTGCAACCTCTTCCTCCTCCTCCTCCTCATATAAATCCACCACCTCGACCCCCGCATCCATTGGTCTTGGCACCAACCCCTGAGGAGGAAGCCAGTAGCGTCCAACCCCCGCTCCCTTCCGATGGTGATAACATCCCTCTCTGGGATGCAGAACTCCTAGCCATGAAGCTCCAACTCCAAGGGGTCATGCAGAACATCCAGCATAAACCTTTTACCACAGCAAACTCACCATTTGTTGCCTCCATCTGAGACAAACCTTTACCCCCCAAGTTCAAAATGCCCACCATCGACTCTTTTGATGGCACGACGGACCCAGTTAACCATCTGGAGACCTACAGAACCCTCATGATCCTCCATGCATTCCCTGACGAGATCATGTGTCTTGCTTTCCCCGTGACATTGAAGAGGTCAGCTCGACTGTGGTTTAGCCAGTTACCAGCAGACTCCGTCTCTACTTTTCAGCACCTCAGTGACTCCTTCCTCAGCCATTTTATTAGAGCCCAGCGCTAGCGACGCCCGGCAACCCAACTCCTCAACATTCGGTAGACCGAGGGGGAGTCGTTACGCAATTTCGTTACCCGCTTCAACACCGAAGCCCTGTAAGTAGCGGAAAATGATGACAAGGTCATCCTCACTATTTTCATGGCCGGTCTGCGGTCGTCCGACTTCCTGTTCTCCCTCTCTAAAAACCCCCCGACCTCCATGGCAGCCCTGCTCTCCAAAGCCCAAAAATACATGAATGCTGAGGATTCTCTAGCCGCCTGGCAAGATCCAATAACCAAAAACTCGACCCCCAGAGAAAAGAGAAAAGACTCAGAACCTAGAAGCATTCAATATAATAGTCAAACACCGCACTATACCGACCGACCCCCCCGAACTGACCGGTCGGCACCAGCCCGACCGCTCGGTCGGTTCGAGCGGTACACACCTCTTAATTCTCCCATGGAACAAGTCCTCAATCAGATCCAGTGGGACTACCCCGTCAAATGGCCCCAACCTTCACGAACCCCTTCCAATCGGAAAGACCAATCCAAATATTATCGTTTTTACCAGGACCATGGCCATAACACCGATGAGTGCGTTAACCTCAAAGATCAGGTCGAGACCCTAATACGTCAGGGACGTCTTAACCGGTTCACGGACACCCGCCCTCGGCAGAGGCAAAGAACTGAGCCCTCCAGAGACAACCGCCGGCGCAGTCCCCCTCGGCAGCCAGCCCAACCTAACCAAGGCCATGATTGCCCTCCACAGCAACCTCGGCCGCCAGGCAATCCCCCTCCACCTGTTGGAGAAATCAAAGTCATTTCAGGCGGCCTTGCTTGTGGCGGACCATCCCGCTCGGCTCAGAGGGCAGAACTCAGAAAGATAAGGCAGGGCTCAGACAAAGCAGTTGCCACGGTCAACCGACCCTCCAAACAGCCCAAGTAGTGGACCGAGCCTATCACCTTCATGGACGCTGACTGTACAGGCATCCATTATCCTCATGATGACCCTCTCGTCATTTCTGCCCTCCTATCCAACTACAAGGTCAGACGAGCTCTCATCGACAACGACAGTTCTTCAGACATCATCTTTCTCAACTACTTTCGCCAGCTCAAAATTGGAGAGGAAAAGTCTGTCTCCTCTCCAAACCCCTTTGGTCGGTTTCACTGGCGACCGGGTGACCTCCATCGGCTCCATTGATCTCCCCATCACAATCGGCCAGTACCCACAGCAGACTACAAAGTTGCTCACCTTCCTTGTTGACGACTGCCCATCCGCCTACAACATCATCCTTGGCCGCACTGCCCTAAATGCCTTTCAAGCTATCACATTAACTTATCACCTTGCCATTAAGTTTCCCACCGATCTGGGGGTCGGGACTGAAAGGGGAGTGTAGACCATAGCCAAGGAATGCTATGTCGTCTCACTCAAAGAAGTCAAGCTGAAGGAAGCCATGATCATTGAAGGACTGGACGCCCGAGATGAGGACGAGCTGGTCAAAGGGGAACCTGTAGAGGAGCTCGTTGAGGTTCCCATCGATCTTATCAACCTGACGAAAACTGCCAAAATCGGCAGCCAACTGTCCCCCCGAGCAAAGGCCGACCTTACTGCCCTCCTGATTGAGCACAACGACGTATTCGCCTGGACCCACTCAGACATGCCGAGTATTGACCCCTCATTCATAACCCACCGCCTCAGCATTGAACCCCATTTCCGACCTTATCGCCAGAAGCAGCGCATTTTCCACCCGAAGCGCAATATTTTCATCGCCGCAAAGGTCGACAAACTCCTTGAAGCATAATTCATCAAAAACGTGGACTACCCTAGATGGTTGTCAAACGTGGTCCTGGTCCGCAAGAACAATGGTAAATGGCGACTCTGTGTCGACTACTCAGACCTCAACCGAGCTTGCCCCAATGACAGTTATTTTCTTTCCCGCATAAATCTGCTGGTCGACGCCACGGCCGGTCACCAAATGCTTAGCTTCATGGATGCCTTCTCTGGGTACAACCAAATTCTAATGCACCCATTTAATCGGAAACACACCTCCTTCATTACCGACCGAGGCACCTACCATTACCGTGTGATGCCATTTGGACTGAAAAGTGTTGAGGCCACTACCAACGGTTGGTCAACGCCATTTTCCATCATTAGATCGGTCGAAATATGGAAGTATATGTCGACGACATGCTAGTCAAGAGTAAACTCTCCGCTGATCATCTGGCCGACCTGCGAGAGACCTTCGCCACCCTATGAAAGTACCAAATAAAGCTCAACCTGGAGAAATGCGCCTTCGGCGTAGGATTTGGGAAGTTCTTGGGTTTCACGGTCAGTCAGCGGGGCATTGAAGCTAACCCTGAAAAGATTAAGGCCTTGATTGAAATGCAGTCATCCAGAATGGTTAAGGAAGTTCACAGACTCACTGGCCGAGTTGCCGCCCTCAACCGCATCATTTCCCGCACAACGGATAAGTGCCTCCCCTTCTTCAAAGTTCTTCGGCAAACTTTTGAATGGACGACCGAGTCCGAAGAGGCTTTTTAGCAGTTGAAGCAGTGCATGGCCAACCCCACTCTCCTTTCTAAGGCAGTCACTGGCGAACCCCTCTTCCTCTACTTAGCCGTTTCAAGCACTGCAGTCAGTGCAGCTCTTATCAGAGAAGACGACTCTGTTCAACGGCCGGTCTACTACATTAGTCGGGCCCTCAGGAGCGCCGAGCAGAATTACCCACTGTTAGAAAAATTGTCCCTGGCCTTGGTCACTGCTTCCAGATGACTCCGTCCTTACTTCCAAGCCCATTCCATAGTGGTCCTCACCGACCAACCTTTGAAGAAGGTAATGCAGCAACCAGAGCTCTCTGGCAGACTCATGCAATGGTCAGTGGAACTCAGCTAGTTTGACATCTCCTACCGACCTCGAACAACAATTAAGGGGCAGGCTGTCACCGATTTCATCATGGAGTTCACTAATCCTACCCCAACCACGACCACTCCACCTCTACCAACCCCTACCGAGCCAGAGGACCCTCATTCTTGGACTCTCAATGTCGACGGATCATCCCGTAGAGAAGGCAGCGGGGCTGGCCTCATCCTCACCGCCCCTGAGGGTGGTTATTTCAAATGGGCTCTCCGTTTCTTGTTCGATGCCAGTAACAATGAGGCCGAATATAAGACATTGATAGTAGGGCTCTGCCTAGCCAGGGATATTGGTGTCAGCCACATCCGGGTGTTCAGCGACTCCTAGCTCATTGTCGGACAACCAGTTTGACATCTCCTACCGACCTCGAACAACAATTAAGGGGCAGACTGTCGCCGATTTCATCTTGGAGTTCACTAATCCTACCCCAACCACGGCCACTCCACCTCCACCAACCCCTACCGAGCCAGAGGACCCTCATTC